TAATTTGAATGTGTGACTCTAGAAATGGTTGCTATGGTGATAAACCACTTTACTTAAATAGCATGTATTTTTCTTAAAATTCAGAGAAATGGTAACAGTTTCTAGTAATCATGCACTGGTATTAACTTGTAGGAATATGCCTAGAGCTTACAGGTTTTGCATCCATTATCACCAGATGAGTTCATCAGGTTAAAGTTATGCCAGTGAATTATGAAATATGTATATTTAGCCCAATTTTCTTGTTACATATCTCCCTTTGCACACATGGGGCTCCCTTTTCAAGATGAATAATATGAGTTGGAGAAATCAGCCTAGGGTGTTGAATTACAAAAAGATGAAACTGGAAGGGACCTTGTAAGGTCATCTTCTCCATGATTGTGCCTCCAGTAGGACTGACTATTCTTCAAGAGCCCTCAATGGCAGGAGTGTCAAAGACAAGGAGCAATGGCACTGGTGCTTAGGGCAGCCTCTGGTGTAGCCATCATGACGGCAGGCTTGAAAGATGCTGGCTCACTAGACAGGGCCGACATCTCCCCTTCTTCCTTTTGAAGATTGGGATTATGTCTGTCTGCATGTATATCCTCTCATTTTTAGACTGAAAAGCTTTCTTTAATAGAAGTCCCATTAATCATATTAGTAGCTAACCTTCAAGCCTTCTCTAGTCTCTTTATGTCTATTCAAACTGGTTGCAAAATTTGAGGTGTAAGTTCTTCATGATTTCATTTAAGGAAATCATTTTTCTTTGATTTCTAAGATGCTTTCTAAGATTTCATGTGCACTGTGCAGTGGTACATTATGCCAGTATCTTCAGAGAACAGCCTGCAATGGTTTGTAGACCTCTCTTGGATTGATAAGAATGGCCGACAGAGTCATATTGATCATTCCGACTCCCTCTAGAACTGAATGTTAAGAGTTTTCTGTCATCTTTCTCTCCCTTTGTACAATCTTACAGAAGCGCATCACCTTCTATTTGCCTTTCATGACCTAGAAGATCTTAGTAACTCCTATAGCCTTGGCAATTTCATTTTTCATTTCTCTGTTCTATTACTTACAAAACTGTAAAATTGCACCAGTGATAACATAGATCCCCGAGGAATCCCATGAGCTATAAAAGAAGCAGCAGAAACCTAAAATTTAGTGTATGATCTACAAAAGAAATCCCTGAAAAATTAAGATTTGTTCATGTTCCTAGAGAAGGGCCTGGAAGCTGGTATTTACCATGACCATTTAGGTTCCAAGGAGGTGAGATTTGATTCTTTGGCCACCATGAGGGTCACCTTATGTTTATGTTCTATTATTAGCATTGGAGAACAGCTTCATTGGAATATTTAATAGGGGAAACTCAGAGGCTGTAGGAAAACTCTTATGCTGATTTCAAGCAATGGCATCCTACACTTAATGCAACTGTAAATTAGCAAACAGAAATGCTAAAGTGTACACACAGTATTTTACAAGGTCTACATAAACATACAGAAGTGTTTATGTTTACAGTAAGATTTGCAGAAGGATGAATAGATGTGCATTGAAGTTACTAGGAAGTGAAGAAACAAGCAGTGTGATTTGTGTCCGTGCAGCCAATTTTAGGCTGATTTTGCAAACATTTAAAATATGATTAACCATAATAATTTTAACAGGTATTAATTACCAAATTGAGAAAGAAGGAAACTGTCTCCTTTATGTAAGCTGGTACAACTGCAATAGAAGGTAAAGTGGTAGGAACTCAAAATTCCAAATTTATATACCTGCTTCACCCCAGAGTTCCACTTCTAAAATATCCTATGGATAGATATACTTACATGTGTACAAAATGACACAAATTCAGTATTATTCAGAGCATCATCATTTGTGTGAATAAAATATTGGAAATAATCTCAGTGCTCTTTGTGAAGATACTGGCTAAATAAATTATGATATGATACTGTACATTCAACTAAGAAAATGCCAAGAATACCCCCACTCATGATGGTTCTACTTAAAGATGTTACTTGACAGTGGTGTAAAGCCATGCACATTCAGTAAAAACCATATTTCACATTTAAAAATAGGACATTGTTTTTTACTTGCTATACAGTTCAGTGAAGTACATGATATATTCATCACTAACAGACTGTGTTTGATCACTTAACCCAACTTGCGCTACTATAAGTGTTCTGAGCATGTTTAAGATATGCTAGACTCAGTATGATGTTAAGTGTATAAAATGCAACTTTGATTTAAGATATTTCAACTTAGGATGGGCTGATCAGGATGTAAACCTTCCTAAGTTGAAGAAGCTCTATATTGTCATGAAATAATCTTTAAGATAATCATTAGTGAAAAAAAATCAAGCCATAAAAGGATGTTTACAGTGGGGTGTCATTTGTATAAAAATAGTAGAAGAAGGTACAACCATGCATGGATGTAAATTGGGCCATATGAAATTGATTAGGCTGTTTTTGACTAAATCCATTTGATTCCATGTAATATTTTCTTAAAGAGCATAAAAGTTCATGGGGAGTGTATGCCATAAATCATAGTATTAGTTGTCTTGGATGGAGAGCAGGGCTGAGTTAACTAGGGAGCCAGAAGGAGATTTTGAACTTTCTGAACATTAAATCATGGAAAATCCTACTTTTATTTTTTAAAGATTTATTTATTTATATATACATAACTGGGGTACAGGCCAGGTATGCAGGGGTGGTGAGAAGTTCACCAGAGAGAGTGGGGAGCAGAACAGGCAGAGTGACAAAGTACACTGCTGAGGGGAGCAGTGGGCAGGTCAGGAGAGGTCTGCTGGGCCATGTGGATCTCCTCCAGAGTGGTGATCGAGTTCACATTGAAGTTGCTGCAGCTACCTTGCAGTGCTGCATTCTAACCTGTTGTACCACCAGGGAAGGCCCAGAACGCACTACTTATTTAAAAAAAGATCATTAAAATTACATATAGAGATGAATTAATAAATGTGGCTGAATAATATAATTTTCTCATCTTACTCTAGAATGAAACAGAATTTTTTTTTTTCTGAAGCAATCAAATGTTTTGGTGTAGTTTCTTTTGCATAAAATTCTGATAATTTTCTTATGGTATCTTTGCTAAGAAGAATATAAAAGAGACCCTCATTTTTCTCAAAGAAAAAAAATCTACCTCACTTATTCTACCCAGAGAGACAATATCTGAGCATTTCTTCCTGGTAACTGAAACTGCTGAGTCCATGTTAAAGTCTCAAGTACATTAACAAATGGAACAGTGAAAAGGAATGGAAACATTAAACCAGCTATGAATGTGATCACATTAAAAAGAAAATGACCGTGTTTCTATTCCTATTCTGTAGAATATTAGTTGTAGTGGACATGTTGAAAAATCATTTCCTCAACAGCTTGGATGATAACTCAGGAGGTGGAAATGTCAAAAGAGAGGGTTACACTTAGATTCACCTTATAATCGGGTTTGTATGTCAAGTGAATTAAATTTTTATGAATCGAATTTTCTAAGATAGAGTTTATGTCTTGGGTAACCATGCTGTACTAAACAAAGCAACTTATCTTGAGCCAGATACTAGAACATTAGTGCTGTACTCTCCCAATACCGAACATAAGGAGTTTTCAATGAGAAGATACTGTCTTATCTTACTTGAAAAAATTCACAGAGAAGCAAGCTAGAAATTTTCTTGAGAAACAGATTTGTACAGAAAAGAACTTTTTCACATTTTAAAATGTATACAAATTAATCTTACATTGTATAAAACTATCAGCTTAATAATTAGTATGCAGCATTGTAAAGTCGTAGGTGAGTGATATTCTGAAGAAATACATATTTAAGAGTTGTCTCTTCATTACAAAAGTTTTAATAAGTAGACAGCAGATACATTTTTTTTTCTTAAAATATTTGTATCAAAAATGACAAGTGACATGAAATTTTGCTGCAATCCCGGGAGATCATGTACTCATTGGACAGCAGAGATGTGAGGTGTGGCCTACTGCTGTGTATGACTCTTGTGTCACACGCGCCTGTGTGACCAAGGAAACACCCGGTTTGTTTTGTGTTACATGTAATCTCTTCCCACTTTTTGAAGATTGTTAGCCTGGTTTTTAAGTCACGTCAGCCAGTAGTAAATACACGAGCCCTTTCCCAGGTCATCCTGTGTGCACGAGAACTGGCTGTGGCTGTCCCTCTGCCCCAGCCCCGCTCCTGCTTGCCTAGGTCTCCTGAGATGTGCTCTGCTCTTTCAGAACTCTGTGTTCAGCTCCATTTAATTAGAAGTGATCACTTTTAAAGCAGGTCTAAGGTCAGAATGGACTCTGCTTTCCTCATGACAGCAGGACAAGAGAGCGCTTTCTTCTCTACTGTGGGGTGAGATGACCTGAGAAAATACAGTCGACTGTTAAAAACCTTTCTACTTGTTTTGTGCTTTAAAACTCATGCAGTACTTGGTTGGTCACCACCTTCATTTATTCTCATAATAAGGCCATGTGGTAAATTTTCCAAAATGCCTTTTCCCTCATTTAGTAGTGAGGCACTGTGATGTGAAGAAGTCAGTAGACCTGCCTACGTGTTGTGACTGGGAGTAGAAGCTGGTCCCTGGGATCATGCGGCGAACAGCCAGGAAGTGGGGAGTGGGCCACTCTGTGGCCAGGTTACAGTAATCGTGATGCGCTTGCTGGGGAATCCACGCCAGTGTCAGAGCTTGTCTGGAAATCTGTAAAGATGAAATGAGCACAGTTGTGTTCAGGTGCACTGCCCTGTACAAATGTTACCAAATTTTCCATTTTGCATGACAGAGGATTTGACATTGTCCACAATTTTCTCTAAGCCAAACACTAAACAATTCAGTTTTCTTGAAGATACTGAAGGAGCTTTCTTGGCAGCTAGTCGCAAGTTTACCTTGTGACTCGTTTGTGTCCCATGCCTGGAGAGAGCCCCAGTTTGCAAAACCTGCACAACTCTGCAGTCCCTTGTTTCTTTGAATTGATATATACTGCTTTGTGTCTGCAAATTAATACAGGCCATTTCTTTATTTCTAGCCCTCTGCTTATGCAAAGACATTTTCTGTGACCAAAAAGAAACAAAATGTGGATAACTCCGACGACACTACGTATTCAAGTTCCACATCTAGCAGACTCACTCCACCTGGAGTTAGGGGAGAAACAGAGAAGCCCTCGGTGACTTCGCACCAAGGAATGACAACCAAATTCACTACTAAATCTCTTGCCTTGCCTAGAACCAAAAAGAAACTCTAAGCTTCTCTCCAACTCTGTACAGACAGAATTGCTCTTTCTGGTACCAAATTGAGGGGATTGGAGGGGGAGGTGGGGAAGAGAGTGCTGTGCTCATGTTAGTCTTTTCCCTTCCCTGAGCCCTGCCTGTGTTTGTACCAGTTTAAAATTGAAGCCAGTTGTTTCCCCAGCAGCGTGACATTAAAGGACAGCCACCAACAGGTGTGCTAGCAGTCACAGCCAAAACCAATCCAGGGTGATTCCAGAGTGGTTTGGAAGGGCAGTTCCCTCAAGCCAAGGCCGAGGGTGTGCTTGCTCGGCTTCATTTCAAATTCTTTTATTTAGGCATGATTATTTATAGTAGAAGATAGAGCCAAATACAGTTGGAGGTTCCCAATAATTATGTGCAGTTTGCACTGGAAGACTTTGTTAGGAGTTACTAATAAACTTGCCATAGGCATAACAGAAGTGCTTCAGTCATTCACATGTGTTCTTATGATTTTAGATTGCTATAGATAGGTTAGGACAATTTATTTTAAGCATAGATAAATAGGATATTTTGTAATTGCTTCCCATTAACTTGCTGCTAAATTCCCAATGTATTGATTGAGTCAATAAAAAAAAAATACAGGTGCTATCCATGCATGTTAATTTTTATGTTAACAAGAGATCAATATAATAAAGTCCTCTAAGCCCCGTGCAAATTATGAGGTTGGCCTGCTGCAGCAAAGTTAGGCACACGTCTTTGGAGAATGTCATGAGGCTAGATACGTGCAAAAAATACACCACAATTCTTAGAAGTATAGGTATCTCCTTCTACCTGGGCAAATCACTGATGTTTGAGGTCAGACAGGGTTTATAGGTGCTTCCCTTTGCCTTCCAGACAAACTCTAAAGAAATATTTTTATTTGCTTTTACTTTTTTAGCATAGCAACCTGGTTTTATTCCACATCCCATGGGGCTGTCAGTTAGGGCCACACCTGGCCAACTGAGCATGGGCAGGTTGCATATGCTTCCACTCAGTGGCTAAAGGAAGTGAGTGTGCTTCTTGAGATTAATTTGAAGGGCACTGTTGTGCTTCTGAGTAGGTCAAAGATAACACTGACACGTGTTGCCCCTGACTGAGTGTTTCTGCCAGTATTTTCTTAGTGCCATCAATGTGCTTCCCCTACGGGAATCTGCCAGTTCAGTGTGTCTATTTTAAATTGTCTAGACTTTATTTTAAAACCAAACTCCTTGACATAGCTCTTTCTCCCTTCCTGATTATTACTTCCAGTCCTATTAGGAACCTATAAACCACCTCTTGAGCTTTAAGCCCTCTCTCCGGGTTCAGTGAACCAGTCTTTGAGGAACAGTTCCTGTTTACTTTCCGAGAAGCCTGGCTTCATGGGTAAGTGGAGATTTCCTCTCCTTAGTAGTGTTCCCAGAGGTAGAAGTATTTTACTTGCTACCTGCTGTTTTACTTGCAGAAAAGCCACCTGAGATAGTGACTTTGATTCTGTCTATCCTCTGAGCCTGAAAATGGAAATTTGCCATATTTAAGATACTCTTACTTTCATGTCTTTTGTATCATGAGTTGGAGAATTCTGTTAAATTGAGCACTATCTAAGTTTAGGTGGTTGAGTGTGTCTAAATTTATTGTCTGAATTTTCTACTATATAAATTTTTGCTCATTTCTCTTTGGTTTTAAGGTGGTGATTCCATTCAGTAAGCTCAAGCAAAGGTCCAGGACTGAGCACTAAACGAAAAGTGAAATCATTTTATAAATGTTGCATGTGTTTATACCTTCCTCGCCCTTCATCAGGCCAGACCAATTGTGTTTCTTGCCATAAGAACCATTCTGTTTGCTCTCCCCTACATAGACTTCCATTTTATTTATGCTGAATAGTTTTGACAGGAAAATAGCCTACTCTTTCCAATGGGATTTTTCATTTTATTTTTACCTTTTATTTGTATGGAGTGCAGGCCGAGTCTGAGCTTTGTTTCCCAACTTTTGTTCATACCTCTTTAGTTTCTGCAGGTATATGGCTTTGTGTTCTCCATTTGCTTTCATGGCTGTGGGAAAAACAAATAGCTCTTCTCTTTCAGATTGGTTCTCCATAACCCTAGAGGTCAAATCCCAGGTATTGATAACAGTGGCTGTGACCCCCTGCACGTCATGGCATAAAGTGTTGACTTGGATGTGACCCAGAGGGACACACTCTGTCTAGGGCTATGTACAGAGAAGGTGCTATTTCCAAGGAATGAAAATGTGACCAGCTCTCTGACTTGAATAACGGGCAACTCAAGGCTGGAGGTGTATGATAAAAGAGACAAATGAGGCCGGGAGACAGAAGATGGTAGCCGAGAATAATGTACATCAGAGCAAAAAGGGCAGGAGGGTAAGGAAAAAACCAAACTGTGAGTAACACGGAGCGCTGACGGGGTCGGCGCGTGGCGTTGCAAACCCGGAAGCACAAGCAGGGGAGGGAGGTGCTGGCTGCAGAGCGCTAGTTGCTCCAGGTCTGTCAGGGCAGAACCGTACTCTCCTCTGACCTGTACACAAACACACCCAGATGAAGACCCCCAGCTGAGGAGACAAAGCCCTGGAAAAATAGAAGCTGAGAGAGGCCATGATTTTATGAGTTGGCCGCCATTTTGAGTAAGTCCTTCCATTTTGAGTAAGAATGTTATATGGTATTGAGAGAGGGAAGGGAGGAAAAAAATCAAAATAATTTGTGCTTACCACTAAAATTCTTTGTTAAATAATTCTATTTGACTCTAAAGTGTAAGTTCCAGGTTAGACAGATCAAAAGCAGCCAGTCTTGAACATGAAGCTTTTTAAATTCCAGCCCAGCTGTTGGACTAGAAAATAAAGGTTTTGTTCAAACATGCATTCCCAGCAGTAAGCAGAGCTTTGAAATTAGCCGGGGAAGTTGTGTCCCATAATGGCTGCAGCTGGCTGGAGACCAAAGAGCTGTGGCCTCTGGGAAATGACCTAAGGCTGGAGATTTTCCATCTTTTCCTCAGAACCAATCTGTCCTGCTCAGGCCTCTCCACTCAGCGAGGCTGATCTTTAAGAAGGGCGTTAACAGGCTTCTCTCCCAGTGGAGCTGTGGGAAGTCTGTCATTGGGGAGCATCAGCAGAGGGCAGGAGAGCAGCTGGAGTTCTGATTGCCCTAGCACCTTCCATGCTGGGCCACCGGGGGTTTACCACATCGTCCTTCTGTAGGCCTCAGCTCTCACGGTAGTCATCTTTCAGCTGCCTGTTCTGTGTCTTCCTCTGTCTTCCCAAACCCTCACGGTACCTTTATGAAGAGTCTCTTTGTTAAACTCTAATTACCTTTCTGACTTGCTTCTGAGACCTAAGGCTATCAGGGTCCTATCCTTGTCAGTTCTGTGTTCCCTTGACCTGGGGAAATTCTGTCTGTGTTGCCAATCTCCTGCCAACAAACAATACAGTGAAGAAAAAAAAACCTAAGTGAGTTCTTTCTGAAACCAACAGATGCACAGGATTGTCATTAGTGGGAGTAGAGAGTAGCTCCTGAGGTTAGAACCTAAAGCAAGCAAGATAAATCTACATTGCCCTACTGCATCTGAATTCATCTAGTCCTAGAAGGTTTGTATTTAGGTCGTAAATTCCAACCGTGACTTTTAGGAGACCAAAGAAAGCAACATGTGACTTGTGACAGCTAGGAGCACCTACTGCCTAGGGTGGAGGCCCTCGTTATCGTCTGGCTCTGGAGTTGGGGGAACAGCAGACGTTTTCCCGGAGAACCTGGTAATCAGGATGGACAGACAAGCTGAGGACAAGATGTGCCCTGGGGTGTGCATTTGTTTCATCTCTGTGAGCACTAACTCACTGTAGAGAGCATTTTAAGTGCTTACAGTATTGAAAGATCTCTGTTTTACTCTTTAGGATCCTGTATTTTTCTGAATGAATTGGTTTAGAACAGATTTTGATTTGAGCTCAGTGCAGTGTTATCCCTTGCTCCTCGGTGGTCCAGCCGTCTTCAGAGGAAGACTACTCAGTGTCTGTCTTGCACTGTAGCTCCCTTCTGCTGTTACTAGTATAATCAACTCTACTCTGTTCTGTCAATGTCCGTTCTCCACCTTTCCCTAAATTATCTGGAGCAGCCCTCAGCAGAAGGGTGGTGGGAATCTCCACCACCACCCCAGTTGTATGCTCATTTCAAGCAGCAGTGCACAGTGACAGGGGTTATTGGGAAGATTATTAGGGACATTGCAGTGTCAGTACCAGCCTTCACAGTGATGCCCTTCACAGAGATGAGCCCTTTCTGTTGCCTAGCACCATCCCACGCATTGTACAGGGACCCAGTGAATCAGGATGCAGACCTCAGAGAGACCTTTTTCTCCAAACATTTGGCCTGACTCAGAGGACAGGACCAAAAGGTGGTGCAGCCCTGCCCCGCCAGGACAGACATGCACTAACTACATTTCGAAGCATCTTGGGTGCACGTTGGCATCACTGCTGAGGTTACATAAATGTCCCTGTCAACTGAAACATGATCTTTGGCCCTTCACCCATATCTGAATCTGCAAACAAGACCCTACACCCAGCTTTTGTTTAGGAAAGATCTCCTCTGCACTGAACCTTGTCTCCATCCCCCGAGGTGACCACAAGCCCTCCCAGGCAGATGGAGAACAACTGACACCCTGACTGGACTCCAAGGAGGAAGCAACCAGTTTTTGTCAGTCCCAGTGCTAGTTTGCACTGAGCTTACTAGACATTGAAGTCCTCTAGAAGCTCGACTTCGAACTCTGTCTTTGAACTAAAGCCCCTCTTCGAGGCCACGATGTAATAGTAGCACCAACAAATAAGCAAGACAGTTACCATGTCCTATCCTAAGCACTTTACATATTATATCCTTACAATGACCCCTGGCACTATTGTTATCACCCACAGGGGTAAACTAATGCACAGAGAAGTTAAGAATCTTGTCTACGTTCACACAACTAAGAAGTAGCAGAACCAGACTTTGAACTCAGCCAGAGGGTCTAAGCGTGTCACCTTTGCCCTGTGCGCTTCCCCAGTTTTGGTGAGACCTGAGACTTAACAACGTTTCAGCCCAGTCTTCTGGAAAGCTAAGTGACTCCTGAGCTCCTCCGTCTCCCTGCAAGAACCTAGGGTGATACTTTTGGCAAGTTTGGGGCCTGCGATTTCAGAATGAGGTGGGATTACCTCATGTTGTTAGATTTGAGTCAGACCTACGCATGCCCTCAGCAGGCAAAGCTGCTCTCTGAAGGACTTCGCATGATAAAAACATATTCTAAGTGCTTTAACTAGCCACTGTCAGGAGCAGCGTGTAGAAGCCCCTGACTAAAATTTGA